TGCTCTTCCGATCTTGTAAATTAATTTTTTTTTCTTTCGTTATATCTCAAAAACTATTAAGATATCAAAAAATCTTTTATACGAAAGTTTTACTGTAAAATTACTTCTATTTATTTACGTTAATATAGAATTTTTAAAAATGATTATTTTCAAAAAATTGTTAAAATATAATTATTAAAAAAAATATTATTAACGTAAACGAATAAATACAATTTTATTGTAAAACTTTTGTTTTACTGTACAACATTTCTTGATAACTTGATATCAGATATAACGAAAGAAAAAAAAATTAATTTACATGTAAGGGGTGGATTCATCCTTTAAATTATTTTTTAGCACCAACTGATAATTTCTAAATTCATTTATTTATGTGATCTCAAAGTGTACCAAGTTTTATTAAAATCAGAATTTGACACTTCGCGAGGTTCCCTTGTCAGTTAATCATATTTACTGCAGGCGTATAATACATTCTGAAATGTGTATTCATTGATTTACAGAAACGTTCGCTGAGGAACACGTAGTGATCAACGGTGGTCGGCTCGTCGCACCAGGCGAAGACCCGTATCACGTTTTTTTAAAGTTGGGTGATTATTATATTTGCAGCGGCTCCATCATCAACCAGACTAAGATTTTGACCGCTGCTAGCTGCGTGAACTACATTGTAGATTCACCCTACTTAAGCAACTTTACGATTGTGACTGGCACCATTAATACCACTGGAGGCGAGATCCATACTGTTAAAAACATTATCATACATTCAGGATACACGGGCAAGCTGACAAATTCTTTTCAGAATGACATTGCAATAATTACGGTATATTGACGTATCGTCGAATAATTCACTGCAGTTTGCTTCAGCAATTTCGAAAGTGTCATTTTTTTATTTCTTTCTAATTTCTCTTAACATCTTTCTTCTTGTTCCTCCATTTTAATTCTTTCATTTAAATCATCAGTCATCTAGTTCGTTTGTTTCAGCTCACAGACTCGATTAAATACAATCAAAATCAAAAACCAATCACCTTGGCCATTACTGAACCTACCCACAAACAGAAATGTACCTTAACTAGATGGGGTTCAATCAAAACAAACGACGGATCGATTAAATCCATCCTTGAAAAGATGGACGAAGATGTGATAGATCGGAAAAGGGGCAACAATTTTGATATACGTTTACGTAACACCCAGTTGTGCGCGTTTAATCGATTGCGGAATGGCAATTGTATGGTAAGTAATGTCCATTGTATAGATGTATGGGGAATAATTTCCCTACAGTTTGATGAGACGATTGATTCACCAATTGAAGAGACTCAATAATTAAACCGGAAGTTAAAAAACATTTGTGTGGATTTCCAGAATGACAGAGGTGGTCCGCTTATCTGCAATGGTGAACAGGCCGGTATTAATGCCTGGGTTTTTCCTTGCGCTAACCGCGATTCTGATATCTACACTAATATCGCCTATTATCGCAAATTTATCCTTTCAGCCTTAGAAAACGCGTAAAATTTATGAAGCGTATACAAAGACACTGTTCAATGTATCATATATGTACCTATATATGTTAACTGATATGAACGCGCCGAAAGAATTCGTTGCTGCAATATGGCGAAACTATAAATGTCGGCCGCGTCTTTAAAAAAGATAAAACACTTCTGTACTTTAATATTAATATAATTAAATCCAACATATCTATGCCTCGGCATATGTTGCACTTTCTTCTATTTGTACGTTGTAGTTAGTGACTTGATTAAAATTATTGTTGTTAATAAATAAGTGTTATAATAAATTTATTGAAATTGTTAGTTTTTAATCAATTTTGAATCTTTCCAGGCCTTTGCGACAGGTATAACTGTATGCGAGTTATTATTCATTTCCAGGTCTTTCAATAAAAAAATAATTATTAATTTGTAACAATTCGTATATATATATAAGGTGTTTTATAATCATTTAATCATTATTAGTTGATAATAATTAAACTAGTTTAATCGTAAAAAATTTTCTAAAAATTAGATATTCTAAGAAATAAATAAAATGGAATAATTCTAAAGATAGTACGTCCTAAGGTACGTTCTGTATTATATAGGATTTCTATGTTAGAGTGCATTTCGTGTACATTAAGAAAAAATTCTTAGAGTACAATGTAATTAGATTGTATCAGTATTATCATATTCCATTGCTCGATATTTTAAAAACAATAATATAAGGTAAATTATTTATTTAATTAGTACATCAAGTGGAAAAATAAAACATTTTATAAATATTCCTGAACATTGAAAATGATATTAAAAATATTTTATTTGGTAACATTATCAAAAGAAATGTCGATCAGAGAAATGTTATTTATTTTTTCACTTTCAAAGAATATTTTTTATTTGGTTTTTAATTATTTTATATAACGAACTGAAAATTAAGAGATATGCAGCGAATTAAATTTGCAATTTTTGTTATTATATCATAAATTATTTTTTACAAAAAAGTTTGAAAACTTATAGAAACATGCACAGTAAAAACCGTTATATCCGTTTAAAAAAAAAAAAAGAATGACGAAGATGAAACATATTTGGATTTATATTCTTCATAATAAAAGTTACGTAACATTTTCTTTTTTAGACACTTCTTTATTTAGTTAATCGTTTAAGCAAAGGTACATTATATATAATTTATTGTTAGTATTGTTACTAATAATAATTTTTAATTAATTAATAATACATCAAGTGACGAAATTTGTTATTTGGTTTTCGATATCTTGCATTTTGATCGGATCGCTTCACAATAAGAATAGTAATAAAGAGATACGCTTTGTATGCTTAATTATGTACATTTTATCGTTCTTCCTCATTTAATTTATACCACGTAATTATATTTGTAATATTTGATTTTGTATCTGCTTCATTAAGATGCAGGATAGGCGTCATTGCGTTTATTTATTTAAGAAATGCGACCAGCTGTTCGCCGAGGTCGAATTACAGATACGAATCTGCTATAAAAAGAAAGTAGAAATTGTTGCTTTCACTCCCAGTTTCATCTTTGATCTGGCCTAAGTTTAATTACCGATCACCGATCATGCTGCCATTTATTTTCTTGGTAGTCGGCGTTCTTGCTCAGCGTAAGTAAAGGCATATAGTATGGTGACAAAAAACGTATTTTTTTGTTATTTTTATTTACCGATGAACAGTTTGCTCATCACTCGATCATTATTAATACCGTACTCGTTTTACATTCTGCAAGAAATGCGTATTTAAATTATTATACGACATATCGTCGATTTGCAGAGACGTTCGCTGAGGAACCCGAAAAGATTGTCGGTGGCACGCCCGCCGCACTAGGCGAATTCCCGCACCAATGTTCTCTGAGACTGAGTGGCAGTCACATTTGCGGCTGCTCCATCATCGGCTCGACCAAGATCCTGACTGCCGCTCACTGTGTGGACGGTATGGCTCGTGCACCTTACAGCAATTTCAAAGTTGCCACCGGTTCTATCTCAGTCAAAGGAGGAGAGATCCATAATGTGCAGAAAGTTGTTGTGCATCCGAGATACACTGGCAAACAACAAGATGCTTGGAACAATGATGTCGCCGTAATCACGGTAAGTTACCACTGCGATTTGCTTCTGCGCTTTTGAAGACTTCAGTTTATAATTTTTTTCTTCTAACTTCTTCTAATGTCGTCTTCTTGTTCCTCCATTTTATTCTGTTAATAAATAATGTCGGCTCGCGCCGTTCCACCTTGCACCTCAGAAACTATTGCTTCGAAAAGCCGTGACCGAGGAAACTATCGCCCTCTCTTAGTTTTGGTTATCAGAACAACTTCGACGGATCGACGGAATAATAAAGCTTGAAGACCTTTTCGGGTTAATTGCTAACACACAATTTTTGCGAATATACTCAGACGACACGCACGCACGCAGATCGCTCTGAAAGATCGTATAAGAATGCGCTAGAAAAAAAAATACAGCCGCGGAGCACGATAAAAAAAAAGAGTAATACGGGGAAGCGGATCGTGTTGGCCGCGATATAATTTCGCGCGTTGATAAGGCTCGCTAAATCGTTATTGATCATGTTTCATGGAAAGATATTCCTTTCATTTAAATCATCTATTTCGTTTATTTCAGCTCTCAAACCCGATTCAATTCAATGCAAATCAAAAACCGATCGCCCTGACCGATTCTCCTCCTACCGCTGGACAGAAATGTACCTTGTCTGGATGGGGTAAGATTAGCACGAACGGACCACTCGCGAACAGTCTTCTGAAGATGGAGCAGTCCGTGGTCGGGCTACCCCAATGCCAACAAATCCATCGTGGTATGCCCTTGGATAACAGCCACCTGTGCACGCTCAATCGTGCTGGAATTGGCGCTTGTCAGGTGAGTTATTAGATACTATGAGCATAGTTTCCCTAGTTTGATAGAGACGATTGATTCATCAATTGTCGAGAGGGGCTCGGTAATTATTCAGTAAATCAAGAAATTAACGAAAATGTCTATCTGCATTTCCAGGGTGACAGCGGTGGCCCGCTCATCAGCAACGGCGTACAGATCGGTATCACTTCCTGGGTTATGCCTTGCGCTCAGGGTTACCCTGATGCCTACGCCAATGTCTACCATCTTCGCAACTTTATTCTTTCTAACTAAGAAAATGCGTAAAGGCAATCTATGGCACGTACGACATATATAGGTCTACTCAATATACGTATCAAGTCAACTGGTATCAACGCGCCGCAAGAATACGCTATTGCGATGTCAATTAAAGTTATACACAATATATCGACCGCATCTTTAAAAGAGAGTTAAAATTTAAACACTTCTGTACTTTAATATTAATAAATAAATGCTATATGATTAAATCTATCAGAAATGTTGATTCTTAATCGATATATAAATCCTAGCTAGTTTATTGAAATAGTATAGATTAATTGTTTGCATCAACCATTGTATAAATTTACAATTTACTCTGGATTAATATTATTTTTCATCTTTTTTATTAATATTTTTATGATAAATTGATACATAACAAAAGTAATATCTCTATAACAAAAAAGAATTGCGATTCATAAAAAATTGATGAGAAATATTTTCGATTTAATTTTAAATAATTCAATTCTGTAGAATATGTAAATTCTAGAACCCTTTATTTTTAATGTAAAATAATTTCATGTAACACACGTTGGGAAGACAACAGAGAATTATTGATCAAACATCGAATCTCATATGACGCAAGTTCACGCAAGTTCAGAACGCCAGCTGTTGCAAGTACAAGTACAATTTTTAATATTTCGATAGAATAGTAATCTGTTTATTATGCAACATTCTTGTAAGTCAACGATCGCTTTTACTTAATTCGAAAGTCCAAATTATATCGTCGTATATACCGCTTTTGTAAATATTTTACATCATATATTATCGTAGACATTTCTAGCGAGGAAGATGAAGCAGAACATGAGGAAGAAGATACTTGGCCTTCTGCAAATCATTCGAAATCGCAGAAGAAGGAACTCGATGAATTTGATTTAGCTTACGGTAGACAATTGCAATCCCCGATACTTGGTTATCATTGTCAATTTCCTGATTTGCCAACAAGTTGCATACCTCCCACAATTCTGGATACGTCTCTGCTACATGTAAGATTCAACGATATGCATTCGATGTAACGATTAAACGAAATATTCCACTTTTATTGCAATGCTTTTTGCCATATATTAATTATATCGACAATTATCATCAATAATTTTGCTACATAAAATTCTCTATTTTTGCAGATTCCCGTTTATGCCCATTTAAAAATATATGATCTGAAGCCTGTGCGGTTGCCGGAGGCACCATCGATCTTATCGGCGTTGCAGCTGCAATTTTCGTGAGTATTTTTCTCTGCATGTTTTTTTCACACTTAATTAATTATTACGCTTTACTTTTAGGGAAGGCACCGTACTCAGTAAATCCTCGAGGGAAATGTCGACCGCGCGATTAAGCGAAGAAAATGGTGTATCCACTTTGTGCAACGCTCGAAACAATATAAAAATTACGAATAAAAAACAACGTGCGGAAATGTAGGCTTAAATACCATGCAGCATAAATGAAAAATATATTCCTAAAAAATGCACTTTTATATCTTTAATTTTTCTTTCTACCGCGGATGTGACTGATTTAATGATTCGATTTTCTTTTTCATTTGCAATATGTTAAATAATACTTAATATACAGTCATCAAACTAATTGTCCGGATAATGCGTTAATATATCGATAATTTCTAAAAATTTAAGATAGAGCACTTTGTAAAAAATTATCTTAATGAGATTTTTAAAAAAGCATTTTACAGCTTGAAATCTCCATTTTTCAAGTTGATACTTTAGAAAACGATTAACTGACTTTCTTCGAAGTCGCATTAATACAAATGGAAATATAACAAATCGCAAAATTTTTTCCCAACTTTGCAAAGTTTCACAACCCGAAATAAAAATCGCATTAAAATGAGGTGTACAGTTTTTGAAAGAATGAATATTTGTCTTTAATTTGCTTTTTTGTTGAGTGTTGTACGATTTTTTTTCACCAAATTATTCAACTTTGAGTCAAAAATGACCTTTTTTGCTTTGATGTGATTATATTTATTTTATTGATTAAATCTGTATATTTAAATAAATAATAAATTTGACTAATACTTTTGATGAAAATGTATTACTAGGAATAGTTTTTATTTCTAAATACTATTTTCTTTATAAAATTACAATATTTGATAGAGTTTTAGCAAAAAATAAATTCCCAATACCTGTGCCCAGACTGTTTCTCGTGACTGTAACTCGATGAAAAAAATTTCAAGATAGAGCAACTTCGTCAAAAATGATTGTAACAAGATTTTTAAAAAAGCATTTTATAGCTAGAAATCTCCACTTTTCAAATTAATACTTTAGAAAACGACTGAGTTTTTTCGGAGCCGCATATATAGATACAAATGGAGGTGTGA